CCAAGAGCCTGTCATCCACATGGCTCAGAATAAAAGGGAAGAAAAAGAAAGAAAGAAAGAAAGAAGATAAAATAAAATAAAATAATTAAAATAAAAAAATAACTATTAAAAAAATTTTTTTAATTAAAAAAAAAGAAAGAGCAGCCAAACCAAAAAACAAATCCACCAATGATAACAAGTGCTAAAAACTATACTAAAAACACAAAAACAAACAAAAAAAATGGAAGACCGAACCCTAGGACAAATGGTAAAAGCAAAGCTATACAAAATCACACACAGAAGCATACACATACACACTCACCAAAAGAGAAAAAGGGGAAAAAATATATATATATCATTGCTCCCAAAGTCCACATCCTCAATTTGGGATGATTCATTGTCTATTCAGGTATTCCACAGATGCAGGGTACATCAAGTTGATTGCGGACAAGGGTGAGAATTCTTGCTGAATGGTTGTTATTCCATTATAGTCATAGTCTTCTGCTATCTCTTCATATAAGTCCTGAATACTTCTTATCAAGGGTATGGTCAGACATTTTATGATTCAGGCTGGAATTGTGCAATCATGAAAAATACCCCTATTTTCTAACTGGTTATTGCTAGTGTTTTGTTTTTTTTTTAATAAAAATTTCTTCTACTTCTGTATCCAACCATTTTCTAATTTTTTAGTATATTATATATATAATATATATATAAACTGATTATTATATATATATATATATATATATATATACACACACACACACTATATATAAACTAATATACTAGTTTTTCAGTTGATCCTCTGGAAAGTTCTGGATATCAAATTATAAATGTTAAAAGGTATAATACTTTTATCTCTTCTTAATAGCTGTAATGCTTATTTCTGTTTCATATTTTATTGCTTGACTGGAACCTTCAAAACAATATTAAATTTTAATGGTGGCTGGAGGCATCTTTGCTTTTTTCCAGGAATGGGAATGCCTCTAATGTTTCATCATTAAGTGTTATGCCAGTTCAAGGTAAATAGAAATATATTTTTTTAATAAGACAAATTGAATTTTATCAAAACATTTTTTTAGCATTTACTGAGATGAGTTTTAAAAAACTATTTGATCTACTAATACATTACTTAACAGCCAAAGAGTTTTTAACTAGAAACCAGCCTATAAATGAAGACTCAAAGGGAGCTGAAAGGAGAGGTCCGGGATGGAGATGTAAATCTGTAAGTTGTCAGTATACACATGGCATTTCATACCATATGACCAGAGGGGATCTCCTAAGTAGTGGGTGCATGTATCAAAGAAGTCAGAGGACTGAGCCCTGAGACACTCCAAGTTTTTAGAACTCATGAAGATGAAGAGAAGTGAGGAGTGGCCAGTAGATGTGAAGAAAACTAAGACAGCATGGTGTCCCAGAAGCCAAGTGAGCAACGGGCTTCAATGATGAAGGTGATCAGTTCTGGCAGTGCTGCTAATGTCAAGATGAGTACTGAGAGATGACACTGGATTTTGCAAATTGAAAGTCACTGGTGACCTTGATAAGAGCAGTTTCAGTTGATCAGTGGTGAAACTTCTGATTGGAGTGAGTCCAAGAGAGAATAAGACAATCGTGCTTGTGCTGGGCAAATCCAGCCCATTTCTATGCCTAGATGAGCAATGTTCCAGAGCCTCAGAAAATCAAGGCTCTCTTCTCCAGATGAAAAAACTTTAGAAGCAAACTTAAGAAACTTAAGTGGAAAGAAATAGAGGCTGAGTTTGGGACCTGACAGCAAAATGCCTGGATCCCAATTCCAGATCTATCCCTCCCCACCTCTATAGCCTTAAGAAAGACATTTAGAATCCCCGAGTCTCAGTTTTTCATCTATAAAATGAGGTGATACTGTTTTCAAAGGGTAGTGGTGAGGTTTCAATTTTTTGAAATGCACTTACACCCCTACACCAATACTGACTCTTCTCACTTTTTTAAGTCTCCTGGACTCTTTCTTTCCTGTTCTTTGTCTTGTGGCCAAGCTTTAAGATGGTGAAATTCAGATTTACTTAAAACATAAACCACTCTCTCTGAATATAGTTTCCTATGAATCCTAAAGGGCTTCAAAAGGCCACTATGTGAATGTGAGGCCCTTTGAAGTTTGTTCTGCTTGCTGCTTTGCCTAAAAGTTAATCCTGTTACAAAACAGGTAGATTAAATACGAATAAACAGGTAAGAGTGCAAATAAAAAAACGATTCTATTGAAATGTTTTGCTGTACACAGAGCAGTGAAAGGTGAAAGGGGATAATGGTAGAAGGGGAAACATGGGGCCAAAGAAGGGTTGCTATCTGTTTTTTAGATAAAATAAACTCGGCATGTTTGTGTGCTGTTGGGGATGATTCAGTGGAGCAGGGAAAACGGTGCAGCAAAGAGAGAGGACAATCAATCATTGGAGTGATATCCTGGAGGAGGTGAGAGTAATGGCATCTGTTGTACAAGTGTAGGGATTGACGTTAAATAAGAGTAACACAGAATATGCAGAGGAACAAGAGGGAAGTAAGAGGATGTGCAAAGATGCACATATGTAGGTGGGTAGCCTTCTTGGTAAAAACATGTGGAAATCCTCTTCTGATTGCTTCTTGGTTCTCCTTGAAAGAGGAAGGTAAGCTCATTCGCTGAGAGTGAGAATGGAGAGAGGGATAGCGAGATTTGAGTAGAGAGTGGAAAGTGTGAAAGAATTACCTAAACAGATGTATCCATGGTTATCACTTGTGCATTTATTTCTTTTATAATGTTAAACAATAATAAATTTATTTTTAAAACTCCTTTAATATTACCCCATTGCCTTCAGGATAAATACAAATTCATCAGAATCATATTAAAGACTATTCTTAGTCTTCTTCATAAACTTTTATCACATCTCCTGTCACATTCTCATTACAATCTATGTTCCACCCTTATCAGTTGCTTAAGAGTTCTCCCCACGAGGCATTATGTTTAATACTCGCTGTGGCAGACTATTTGCCAAAGATGACTGCAATAATCCATCCCATTCCACATGTTCTTCTGCAATGTGACCTTGACAAGTAGATTTTCTCCATTCCCTCAAATCTGTGACTGTTTTGACCAATAGAATATAATGGAAATGACGCTGCCAGTTCTGGGAATAGCCCTTAACTGGACTGGCAGTTTCTGTCACGGTGCCTTTTGGAATGCTTGCTCTTGGGATACAGCCTCTTGGAACCCAGGCACCATGCTGTGAGAAGCAAAGGCTACAAAGCCATGTGTAGGTACTTCTGATGGGTGGTCCCAGCTGGGCTCCCAGCCAACACCCAGGATGAGTTACCAGCCATGTGGGTGAGTCATCTTGAAATGTCCAGCCCAGGTGAACCTTCAGATGACTGAGTGCCAGACTACATCTGACTGCAATCACATGAGAGACCCCAATTAAGAACTTCCCAGATGAACCCAGTCAATCTACAGACTTGTGAGAGACATATGTTATTTAGAACCCTAAACGATAGGCTGGTTGGCTATGCAGCAGTAGATAACCAGAACTACTGAGTGCCGATGTGGGGAGACAGCAGTTGTCATAGTGGTAGTGGTGGTGGTAGACAGGTGATTTAGGCTAAAATCATGGCTCTGCCACCCACTGGCTCTGTGATCTTAGCAAGTTACTTAAATTCCTGAACTTCATTTTTCCATATACGGGAATAAAAATAACCAACTCACCTGACACAGTTCCTGGAGTTAGTTAATTTTGAAGAAGGGATAAATGTTTCTGCCCTTCACCTTAGGTTTCAGCTTGGCCCACTGAGGAAAAAGTTTCTCACCTACCATTTTACCTTATCTCTTTATATCCATATTCCAGCTCCTCCCCGTAAGAAGAGCTGTTGATAATACAATTTGCTGGGCTTACATTTTACTTGTGGGCATAATTACTGCATTGTGTGTGTATCTGAGCATGACGTGTTTCATCTGTAGTTAGATGGATGAGGAAATTCCAACCAGCCTTGCCAATGCAACTACTTGCTAAGTGTACTCACAGTCTGCCTCCACAGAGCCAGTTTATTAGGGATATAGACATGGAGATGTACGAAGCTACTTCAGCCTTGGGACAAAGCAGTGTTCTCCAAGCAAGCTTTAACACAGCATTGGGTATTATGAAAAGTAGCATTATATTTGTCATATGGCTACTAATCCATTTTTTTCATGGCTTCCCCAACAGAAGAAAAGTATGAATGGGTTTAAGAAGCAAAGCCCACCCCCATAATCCTAATAAATTCCTACTGTTCTTTAGTAGTTAGTTCAACACTGCCTCCTCTGCCCTCATGCAAGGTGTGTTGAGTTCCCCTTACCTGAGTTGCCATTTCTCCTCATGCAGAACTTATATTACTTCTGCTCATATTTTAGTTTGACACTCCCTCCCAATAGTCAGTGAAACTCTTTAGAAAAGGGAAAAGAAAGGTCTTCCATTCAAAGTGTTGACATATGGCAGGATCTCAATCAATATTCGTGTAATAAATTAACATCTTACAGACATTATAAATTTTAAGGATATATGGGTATGTTCCTGTGTGCAGGTGTGTGTGATGAGTGTGTGTGCGCAACACTTGCCTGCCCCTCCCCCATTCTTTCAACACAAACAAACAGCCAAAACCTAGATAAGGATTTTAAGGTTATATCCCAAATCTAGCAGTTAAGATATAAAGGTTATTACTTGAGTTATATAGAAAACGTGTGATATTTTATTACTGAGGAAATAATGTATTTACCTCATGTAACAAAGGTTTTGCTAATTGAAGAATGAACTTTCTGAACTCGTAAGTAGACAAATAATTATAAAGTAACAGGTTTGTTACTCTGAACTTTGACACTCTGAAATATGTTTTTAAAGCCTCTATATTAAATTATTATTAATGCTGCCAAAAAGCAATACGGAAATCTTGACACTATTATTCCAAATATGTAATTTAATGTACTACAGGTATCTTGGTAAAATGAACAATAGCTATACAGTAGTCATAAATAAAAATATTTACTTATATACCTTTATCGTCAGTATTGAGTTTGGCTTCCAGTTCCGCTATCTTGCGTCTTATTTCAAGCACTGAGAGTTGTACTATATCCCTATTATTAAACACATTTTGTTAATTATGATTCAATTAAAAATAACATGAGAAATATAATACACAGTAACCTACCACTACTTCAGGAACAACCTATTATGAAACATCACTTACTGAAGGCCTGGTTGAGAATTAGTAATCAGGCGAACGCAGGCTTCCGATTACCCGGGTCCAGAAGGACACTAAAATGCACTAAAGCTCAAAGCTCCCCATGTAACCACTTAAAACCCTTTATTCTTAAAGTTGGCCTCAAGAAGTCTGACAATTTTGGTTACCTGGTTTCTCAAAGTCCAGCAAAGGAGCTGCAAATTACTATAGACAGGAACAGCTAGGGCAACAGGTAACAACTGACAACCTGAAATAAAAAGGAAAAAAAAAGAAACACTAATAAAAAAAGAAAATACACACACACACACACACACACACACACAGCATTCCAGAGATTATCTATTTAGGACATCAGCAAGTGGCATAGTAGTTATCAAAATACAATGACAGAATCATTTATATTTCTGAATGCCTATTATGTTAAAGGCATTGTGCTAAGTGCTGAAGGTACTACGGTAGGTGAACAGAACAGTAATTGCAGCAGCTAACTTCCACTGAATGTTTATTACAAGTCAACGCTAAGTGCTTTACATACATTTCATTCAGTCCTGGTACCAACCACATGATGTGTGAGATACCGATTTCTACGCCAGTCTTAGACTTGAGAAAACTGAGGCTTCAGAGGTAAATTAACTTGCACAAGATCATGTACTTGCTGAGTAAGTGATAAGAGCTGGGATTTGAATTTGTGCAGGATTCCTCTAAAGGACTGGCTCCTACACTGTACTGCTTCAGGAAATACAGAACCTGTCCTCAGAGTGCTTACAGCTTAGTACCAGACCAAGAAATAACTGAGCAATTAAAAAAGTGTGGTTGGAGCTACGACAGAGGAAAGCACAGGAAGCTACAGGGTGACCCAAGAGAGCCTAGCCCTCCTGTGGCCTGCAGGTGGGGGTGGGGGTAGGGTATCTAAAAAGATACTTAAAATGTTCCAAAGACTTAGTAAGAAGTACTGATATTGAGTACTTTAAGAAGTATATATAGTAGGGGCTTCATTTTTACCAAGTGTCACCAATTTTTAAGCTCTTCTAAAGGGATGAAAGAGAAGCATAACTAAACGAAACCTTTGGAATTTGAAACAGAAACCCTGAACTTAGTGGAACATCACAAGCAAACACATGTTTCAGCATTATAGTCTGTGCACACAGTACACTCCACCGGACTCGCTCCTGAAGGCGGAACCTCAAAACCTGCCTATTTATAATACCAAACGCAAGAGCTAAATGAATCTCTCCTATAAAACACTGTTTTCAGATGTCACCAGTTCTGCCCAGGGATTAATGACACTGCAGGAGTCACCTCGGCCTCAGGGGCTTCGGCCTTGAGCCGCGGGGCTCACACAGCCGCAGGCCCTCGGCGTGGCGGCGCCGACGTGAACCCCACACCCGGCGGGGCGCGCGCCGCCCTCCGACTCACTTCAGGTGCCTTTCTTCCAGTAACTCCAGTTTAAGGCGGTCGGTGCTCATACCGTCGAAGGTGTCGCCTCTTCCTTCCTCCACCGTGTCAGATCAGAGGCCACCCACGCCCTTCCCTCACACGGCTTAGAACACGAGACCTGAGGGGACCCCCAGCAGTCGGCAGAGGTCAGGTCCTGTCAGCCGTAGTCGGGGCGAACTGCCTCACGGTCGCTGCCTGGCGCCTTCCGGTGACATCACAGGGCGGCGCCCGGGGGCGGGGCCAGGCTGGGACGCCCAGGGCCGCTCACACAGGCAAGAGGGCGCTGTGCTGGGAAGTTTGGAATTGAATTAACTAGAAAGTAATGTAGTATCACGTTAGACCGACAGACCAATGTCCAGAAGAACCACCCAAATTTGTGGGCAAGAGATGATGTGAAGCATTTTGAGGAATAAGTTCAATTAATAGCAATCGAGGGTTTATTTTATACAGAGTGATGTGTAAGAGATGCTAAGTACGTTCACTGCTTTCAAAGAACCTACGGTTTAACTGAAAAGTGAAGATCTCTTGTCAGTGTGTCAGTAGTCACGTGGTGTGGCAAATCTTGTACTCCCAACTTTTGTGCCCAGCCTGAGGCAAGCTGTGGGGAGCAAGGTGCTGGTCACCTCTTAGACACTCATCGGTGTCTATTCTGTCTTGGTGGCTCCCTTCCTTCGTCCTCAGCCAGCGTTCCTAATTCTCTGATTGACTGGGGAGGTGGGGATGAGAGGGACCTGCATGGCAGAGAGATAGTCATGCATTTATATTCTCCCAAATCTTTCTGGTTCACACCTAAACCATAGCTTTTGAAATATCAAAAGCTAAGAACTGATGGTTTTGTTCTCTAGTTTCTCTGTAGAACCCCTGCTCCTTTAGGTCAGGAGGGTCAGGAATCCTCTCCACCTCTAATGCTGCTTCCAGGATCTCTACTCTTCCGTCCTCCTGTAAAAACTCACTCCTTATTTCACCTGGGTGTGACACCATCTACTTCTCCTTGCTTCACCCAGAGACTTAATAGTCACAACCTGTCTACTGACTTGGACAAAAAAAGGAGTTTTTCCACCATAGGTCTTGTCTACAACCTCGCCCTTCAATTTGCAACTCTCATCACTTTATCTTCACTCCACATCCACAGCTATATGCTGAACCCTGTCATCAGTGTGGCTTTAGTTCAAAAGCCTTAAGTTTAAAAACTGCTGTATACCAAAGCCCCTTTTTCTGCTCCCAGCTCAGTTACTCCCTAAATAGCAACGTTTTAACTAGAGACATTATCTGTGGGGCTTCTTGAACATGCAAAAATGCTGGGATCCTATCCCTTATCTCAGTAATCTTGCTTCTTGGTAGCACTCTAGCAAGTTGCTTTTCAGCTGGCTAACTAAATTTTAACAGAACAGATTGGGTGGGATGTGGGGGGAGAGAGAACACTTTCCCCCACTAGTCATTTTTTCCTCCAATGAATAGCCTCCAGGTTGATCAAACTGTTTCTTCACATATGACAACTTTTTGCATAGAATACATTTAAAGACATTATTTCGGGTTTCTATTTTTCATCTGACCTGTGTTCTTAAAAAAAATTTTTTTTAATTCATCTTTCTGGATCTTTAAAATATACTGTAAATAGAAAAAATGTTTTTGAAGAACAGCTATTCAGAAATCAACAAAATATTCTCTTTTAAGCAATTCTGTTGCTAAAGTAAACACAAAATAGCAAAATCCATTAGGAAGTCTGTTTAAAAATACCTAGTCTTAATTCTGGCAAGAACAGACCAGAGAACTAATTTGTTTGAGCACAGCATTATAGACTTAACGGATATGTCTGGCTTTTCTTAGCTTACCCTAGAATACCTATGAAGACAGAGAAAAAGACTCACACTATCAGCTAGGTAGTGATGATCTATTTTGCTAATCTAGGGCTGATGATCTATTTTGCTAATATCTTAAGAAATTTTCTACCAACTATTAAGCCAATAGAATTATAATAAAAAATTAATTTGATAAGCAGCTGGAATCAGAGGAAATAAGACCATTTGTCTTTCCCCATCTACCTCTGTTTAAGAAAGACAAGATGCCTGGCCTAACAGGCCCTCCTTTTTGAAGCATGTGTGTGACCTCTTCTTTCATACTGTTCCCTTACATCTTGGGAAGGTTACTTCACCTCTCTATACCTCAGTGTCCTATTCTGTAAAATGAAGACTGTAATGGTATACACCTCATAAGAATATTGTGAGGTTAAAATGAGTTAGTCTGTAACAGCACTTAGAACATTTTAACACTACCTAAACATTAGCTATCATTATTTTTATAGCTGGTAGGTTCCTAGAGGCAATGCCAGAAAACTACCCAGTACAGCATGGGGGAATGACAGTCTGTAGAGGCAAAGTGAGGAAAAACCCTGGTAGCAGTAGATACTGAGAACTGTTTGTCAGACACTAGATCTGCTGCGTCTCAGAAAGCCAAGAAAACCTAGGAGAAAGACCTCTAGAAAATAAAAACCAGGCTAAGAAGCTGTGATGGTTAATTTTATTGTCAGCTTAGCTGGGCAACGGGGTGTCCAGACATTTGGCCAAATATCATTCGGGGTGTGTCTGTGAGGGTGTTTCTGGGTGAGATTAACATTTCCATCGGTAGACTGAGTAAAGCAGATTGCCCTCCTTAAAAATGGGTGGACATCACCCAATCAGCTGAAGACCTGAATAGAACAAAAGGGCTGAATAAGAGGGAACTCTTCCTGTTTGACTGCTTTCATTGGTATATTGGTCTTTTCTGGCCTTCAGACTCAGACTGAAACATGAGCACTTTGGGGTCTCAGGCCTGCCTACCAGCTTTCAGACTGGAATATACATCATTGGTGCTCCTGATTCTCAGGCTTTCAGACCTGGACTGATACAGCACATCAACTCTCCTGGGTACCCAGCTCACTGACTACAGATCTGGGGCTTCTCAGCCTCCATAGTTGCACGAGCCAATTCCTTATAATACATATTGCTTCTGTTTCTCTGGAGAACTGGAATATAGAAGCTATACTTACCAAAATGTTATCTAGCTGTTGATCTGAAAAAGCAACCCACAAACAAGTGAACAAAGTAGAATGAAGTGAAATGGACAACTAGGTTCCCGTTGACAAGTCCAATTTTGCTGACCTCTGCTCTAAGGTAATTTTTTAAATTTTAGGCTCCACTATGTGTCATTCCATTTCTTAAACTTAAATAAGGCAGAGACCGACTGGAAGCTATTTACCAATTCAATTTTATTTCCATTTTAACTAGTACATTATCCTTGGCCCTAGGGAAAGGCTCCACCAATTCTGTGTCCCTGAAATACAAACCCATGAATACATTTGAGTCCAAGTAAATCAGACAGTTTATTCACAAAGTGCATTATTTATATAGTTTCAAATAAAGCCTAATAAACTAAATAGCAATTGGAGTTTCAGAAATATTAAAATGGACTATACTAAGAAAACCAATACCAATCTTTTAAAATCCTTAAATAAAAATAAAATGCCATTAGCTATTTTACTTACATATTTGTAGCTTATAGGTCTGTGAATATCCTGTCTTCTGCCAAAGTGGACACTGTTATGCCTAGCCACCATGGATTAAAGCCTAAAGTCTTCACATTCTTTACCTTAATTATGAGTAAAACCTTTCTAATAATTTAATTTATTGGCTTTTTAATATATAAAATTCCAATGACTGAATCCCAAAATAAAAATTATTTACCATACATAAACTCAACTGTTTATATTTTAGTTTTTACTAAATTTCAGCCTTTTGGCAAAACTTACAGAAGTAGACACGGTAAAGTGATTACATTTTTGTCCAATTAAGCTGATAATAATCACTTCGAATTTTGATACAATACCAACCATACCTCCAAATTTCCTAGGCTCCTAACAGATCAATAACAGGCTAAATCTAGAAGACTTAAAAATCTATTTGTATTCATTTAAAATCAAAAAGACCATTCCATTTCCTAACAAAGAGATAAGCTACCAAATGATTTTATAGAACCTCATTTTATTTTTCATGATTAGTCTACTCCTTGTTTTGAAAAAGTCTTTTAAATGTTATACAAGAATTCTTTTCATTTAGGGTTACAGTTTTTGTTTAGCTTACACACTGAAAATTCTCACAAGCACCTAAAAAAAAAATCCACAATTAGTGCAAAAAGAGGAAACAATGTTTAAAGCATTCATTCGCAGTACAAACATAACTAAGGTTACTAAATGCCAAATTTTATGTAAATATATAATTTCCTACTTTGCTTTCTGAAAGACAGCAAATACAAAAATAGTTTAACGTTAGGTTTAATGAGATTTATAGCACATCTATTATGAGTCTTATTTTAACTGCAAAAATATTTTAGCCACATTTAGAAAAAAATCAACTCACAGAGAATGTAACTGTATTTCTAAAGGCCAGATGCAAGAATACTGATTCTTTTCCTTAGAAGTAGAATACATGACATAAAGCTTATGAAACAGTCACTTTGTAGGAATGAATACATTTAAAAAATCCTGGTTAATCTGTGGGGAATTCCACATTTGCCATTTAACAAAATTGCATCCATCTGTAAGGCTTTGGTATAGACAATTCATAGCACTTCCATCATTTATCTTTCTTCTTTGCCCCATCCTTCTCTAGTGCCTCTCTCTGTTCATCTTTCTCCTCTTTCATGTTTACACTTGCTCCTCCTCCTTGATTTTCCCCCTTAGAATTATCAATAATTTTATAGTCCTCAAGCAGCGTGTGTCCTGTTTGTTTTGCAGTTTTCTTCACCATTGCTTTGATGCCAACGTTGTCAATATTATAGGCAGTTACACCAACATTGATGGCAGAATCTACTGCATTGTGTGTAGCTTCTCCTGCGTTATGCCCGTATCTTTAAAAGAATGATTAGAGAAAATACAATGAAATTACAAATATAAATTAAGATCTTCTGAATTAGTATTAAATAGGTCACAGGATTAGCATGTTATCCGAAAGCAAAATCAGAAGTTAGGTTTCAATTTAATTAATAACTTAAAACACAATAAAGAATAAAATCACACTGTGCCAAGGCTGTTCTCTTCTCCTTTATCAAAAATACTGTGAAAATAAACTGAGGCTGAGATTAATGTAATAAAGACTGTTTATGCTGAAGAATAAAATGTAAATTATAATAAAGGTTGTTAATCAGTCAATATTTCCTTTTTTATCTTCTTCTGGAAATATAAGAGAATTCTAACTGAAACAACTATAGGTCACTATAAATGGTTTTGAGTTCTACCTTAACTAGACTTTGGTTAAGTCTTTCAAACTACTGGAATCTGAGTTTGTCTCTAAGCAGAGATTCTACAACACTCTTCCTCACTCTACTCCACCCCACTGCAGACTCACTGGCCTTCTTGCTGTTCTTTGAACCCACCAAGCACACATGCACTGCCCTATGACTTTCGTACTGGCTGGTATCTGCCTAGACTACTCTCACCCCAGGTATGCATGTGGCTAACTGCCTCACCTCCTTCAAGTCAGCTATTATCCTCTCAGTATTTAACCTATTTTAATTACCTTATCTCACATGCCCTACCCCACTGCCAATCAATCCCCCCCTTAAACTTCTCTTTCTTCTATAACTTAGTCTGCTACATACTATAGAACTTTTTTACACCCATTGTTTTTGTTTTGCTTATTGTTCGTCTCACTAGAATATTTTTTGTTTGGCTTATTGTTTGTCTCACTAGAATATAAACCCCATTAGAGAAAGATCTCTTTACTTTGTTCATTAATGTATCTTAAGTACTTAGAACAGTGCCTGACATCTAATATTTGTTGAATGAATTAAATGAGGAAGTCCTGCCCTATCCATCTAAGAGTTTCTTGAGTTCATATGTATAGCAAAGGGCTTGGGAAATTACAAAGCATTACACAAAAGTAGCTATTCCTGACCATAATCAATACCGCTGATGGTGTTTAATACCATTTCCATAAGAAAATAATACA